TATATATATATATATATATGTTGCTTAAACACTACATAGTGTTTAAGCAACAAAATGAAAATTATTTGTTGGTTGTGGGATTATCAAATGAATTTAAGGAAACAGAAATGGCAGACTTCATCCTACGAAGAAAATATGCATACATCTCAACTGAACTAAAATAAAAGATGAAATAATGCCAAGTGTTCGAATTTATTACACTATATAGTGTTTAAGCAACAAATGAAATTTACAATAGAGTTTTGGGATTATCAAATAATAATAATTTTTGTTAATTCATTTCTTGTTTATAGCTATAGATTTATTTTAATTGGATACTTTAATAATATTATGAAAAATTCCAGGGATTCCTTAATCTAATTTTGACAATAATTAAAAAATTTTAGTGTTAAGTCTTTTATATGTATATATGTAAAAGGAAAACACTTATATAAATAATTTCTTTTTAAGACATTTTGCTTCAGATTCATCTGAAAGTATTCTGTTTGAAGAAAGTGAGAAGAAATCTACAAATGATGTAATTATTTTTTAAAATAATTGAAAATCGTTTTAAAAAGCAATAATAATTAATTTTAAATTATTTTTTTAGGAAGGTCATTGTTTATCTGTGAATGAAAGTGATTCTGAACTGGTAAAAAGTACTGAAATAACATATCAGTTTATGTATATACAGGTATGACATTAAAAGATTAAAAGTTTTTAAATTGTTTTGAAGAAAATATAATCAATCACAATTGTAAATATTTAGAACTACTGAATGACTTGAAGAATTGCATAAATGGCTCTTGCTATATTCTCATAAAAAAGAAAGAACACTATAGTTTTAATTAGTTCAGCATGCACAATACAATGGTTTAGGATGGGTTTTCTATAATAATATTTAATGTGTGATAAATATTCTTTCTTTGATGACTTTTAATGACACCAACCAGATTGCACGAGCGAGTCAATAAGTGAAAGATAAGCAAATTAGTGATCAAATATAAATAATTTGGATAAATTGCATTTATCCAAATTAAAATTACCAAAGAAGTTGATGGAAGTTTTTTACTTACATGCTTTTCCTTTAAGTCAAATTATGTAAGTGAAGAAAGATTCCATCAACTTCTTTGATTTTTATTGTATTTTTGATATTTATTATTTTACTTTATATAAAATTAATATTTCCAATGTAAAAATCATTATTTAGAAACAAAAAGCTTAAAACAAATGTTCCTTAAGCTATTTTGTTTCTAAATAATGATTTTTACATTGGAAATTTTGAATTATCAGAACACAATACAGTGGATGATTAATTAACGAACTAATCGGATAACAAACACTTTTGTGAAATATTTTTATGTCGGACAACAAACATCTCGCAGAACAAACACAAGAAGCGACATAAAGTAATGAATACCAATTGGTCTTCCCTTGTCTTCAGACAACAATTCGAAACTTTTCAGAGCACAGGAGAAGTCTACATTGATGCTCAATCCAGTATATACTGATCAGATAGTATTCCTCCGAACTTTCAAACTCTCCCTTGTAATTTCCAATTTTTTTTATTTTTCTGACAGAAACAATTCTTTTATAGTATTCGCAAGACTGTTGGGAAGCACTCATTAAGTTTTGCGTCGGTTTTTATTTTCGAAAAGTGAGAGTATAATAGCAAAGGTAGAGTGGGCAGAAGATGTCTGATGTTGCTGGTCAGTATGGCTTGAACAGTTCTACAGTAGGCCACAGTTCAATCTTATCTAAGAAAGGTACTGTATGATCAAGAAGACTCAAGCAGCTAAAGGAGTAACAAAAATCACATCTGAGAAATAAAGAACATTGAAGAGCTCATAATGGAACCTGAAACGGATCTGATGACAGAAGAACGCCAAGAACTCTTGAATGAAGAACACCAAGAAACTCAGCGAGATATGTTTTCTTCTGAAAAAAAGAATTAATGTTGATATCTGCTATTAAACATTTTTTTGAAGTGGGAGGATGTCAGAATGACGGTCTTAAAATTGCATCCAAACTAGGTTGAAGTTAATAGGTTGGGGATCTCTACAATTACAATGCTATTAATTACTTCTGAAAAATCCTGAAGAGAGAAAAGCAATTGACATTGGACAGATTCTTTAACAACTACAAACAAGAAAAACGTGACTAATAAAAATGCAAGAATGTGTATATATTTATTTTTATTATTACACTAGCTGCAAGGACCCGCTTCGCTGGGTTTTTATTTGTTCGTACATTTGTATGTAATATAGTTTTTTTTATATATAAAAGACTGTTTTTCTAAGTAATCTAGAATCTAGCTGCAAGGACCCGCTTCGCTGGGTTTTTAAAAAGTAACGATAGTGAAGATTAAGATAATTACATTATAGCCAATCTTACCCGTTTTCACAGAATGCAAGAATTAGGTCC